ACCTTCCTCTTATCTCTCTTTAAGCACCATATAGTAATTAGGTCACTGTTCTCTCTCTCTCAGCTATGATTGAATAACATTTGTATACATCTGACGTCATTCATTCCTCTTCCACCGCCATGGGAGTAAAAGTGTCTACATGTCACAGGTTAGGTTAGGTTAGGTTAGGTTAGGTTAGGTTAGGTTAAAAGGAAATCGTGTGTGTGTGTGTTTTAAGTCCAGTAAGTTGGGTCAGTGGGAATTGGGTTTTTTCCCGGGTTCTGTTTTCATGTGTTCCCGGGATCTATTTCGATGGGTTCTGTGTCACCGTGCTGGTGTAACCCGAGAGAGAGAGAGAGAGAGAGAGAGAGAGAGAGAGAGAGAGAGAGAGAGAGAGAGAGAGAGAGAGAGAGAGAGAGAGAGAGAGCCACCAACCTCCCGGGCACGCCTCCTGTCCTCTCACTTTGGCTTCTCCTCCTTCGCCTTACCCCCAGACAGAACCCCCACCCCCCACCCCCCCGAAAAAATCCCACAACCAAAGTTCATCTTATCCAAATTAACCCAACTAACCCTAATCTACCTAATCCTAACTTCCCCTTTACTTTAACTCGATAGATTAGATTTGGGGTAGACTTTGGTACATTGGGATACAGTACAGTACTCGCCTCCTCTCCCAAGGGTCCCAGATTCGCATACGCTACACCCCTAGTTGACCCAGCTGTGAGTATGTACCTTAGTTTCGTGGGGGTAAATAAAGGCGATCGAGTACAGTGTTTACCGGCAGTCTGACTATAAGACTCACAGCATTATGTTAAAAGATTAGACTTGGTTATTCATGTTATAAAGGATTTAAAAAGGTTAAGTATAGGTGTGTTATGGTAGTTAAAGTTATCCATAATACTCTAGTCTCCTCTACCGATTTACCAACTTACCCGACCAAAAACCAAACCGATCCACTGAACATGGTTGAGGTTTTGGTTCTCGAAAAAGGGGATTTGTGTACCCGAGGCTGACCAGGTGTTTGTTCTGTATTCTCACACGTTAAAACACTCTCCTCGTCTGTCATGGTGATGTAATGTAACCCGTTGAGAGAAATACCCGTCCATTTATATAAGAGGTCATTTTCTTCGGTCTACACCAACAACCGCGATGTTTAGATGAGTTATCCCTTTTGTTTCCCTCCGAGAAAGAAAATGGTCTATATCTTTTTATTCATTTTTGTAGGGATGGAAAATGATGGAGAGAGGGATCTTAGTGATGGAGAGAGGGATCTTAGTGATGGAGAGAGGGTTCTTAGTGATGGAGAGAGGGATCTTGGGATGAAAACATGATTTATATGCAAATTTATTCGGTAAGAAGCGTGGAGAAAACCAGAGCCACGACTTGGGATGTAAAATGATAAGTCTTTCCCTGCCTTCAGCTATTCTCTCTCTCTCTCTCTCTCTCTCTCTCTCTCTCTCTCTCTCTCTCTCTCTCTCTCAGCAGTATCTCGTGACGGCCAGCCCAGACCAGTGTCCAGCTGACGTCTCTCCCTCACCCTACTGCTATTACCACATTATCTCCACGCCTGATGCTGCCCCGGGCCTGCCCTACCTACCCAACCCTACCCTATTTCAACCCTACCTACCCATTTTTACCTCAAGTCATCTACCTTACCTGTGAACTCTTATCCCTATACCGTCTCCACTACCTACTGCTACCTTAGGATCATCTTACCTACCTACCTAATCTACCTACCTACCTACCTATCAGCAGTAACATACCCACGAAAGACCTATATTCTGAGACCTATCCAATACCCTACACTCGGTTCATGTTAAAGGTATGTAAACAGATTCATCACCTGAGTGTCTTGAAGTATAGCGCCATATTTTACAGGTGAACAGGATGAGACACAACAGGTAAAAAAAATAATTAAGACAAGCAAGGTTACGGTACAATGATGCGTGAAGGAGGAGGTAGTGGTGGTGAAGGGGGGTTAGGCTTCGCTTTTCTAATTTTTCTTCACACGCCCTCCTCTCTCTCTCTTAAATGAGGAGTCTAAGTTTTAACATGTGTCGGCTTGTGCGCATTTCGAACTCTCGTCTCTCTCTCTACCTTATCATGCAAGAGAGAGAGAGGCAGTGAAAGCAAGAGAACGAAAGCTAGAGAGAGAGATATAGAAAAACTCTACGGTATCCACGTGTACATTTTGGCTGGGAAATAGTGATGGTAAACTTAATTTGTCTAATAAACTATAACTTCCGTGGTGGGGGCCTGTGATGTCCACCCTGTCCCTCTCCTCCCCCTCTCCCCATTTTTCCCACCCATCCCTTTCCCTTTCCTCTTCCTATCTTCCCTCCCTTTCCTTCCCTCTAACCTTTCCTTCCCTCTCTAAACCTCCTATTCTCCTCCCCCTCTCTTTCCCTCCCTTTCCACCCATCCCTTTTCCTCTCCTTCCCACCCTCTTTCTCCCTAATCCTCCCCTTCCCACCCTCTTTCTCCAATCTCTTCCCCTCCTCACCCCTTTGTTCCTCTCTCCTTCCGTCCCCTCCCCATCATTATTTCCCCTACTCTCTCTCTCTCTCTCTCTCTCCACCAGCACCCCCACATCCTGCACAACATCCATCACAACCTTATATGAAGCTGCGGGTACTGACTCTCTCTATATATGACCGCCATTCTTGTTTCCTCTTCACCTCCCAGATGCGCACACGATCACAACCCACTTGAACGATCGTCTGTTTTGTGCGCTTTAACGTAAACCTAACCTAACCATTTAACCAAGACGGTAATAATCGCATAAAAGAGACGCTCGTAAAGAGAATTTGTCCCGTAACTGGTGATAGGAGAACGTGTCTGGAGGTCTAATATAAGCTGCAACACGAAGGTAAATTCTCCAAAGACACGAATGTTTGAATGTCTCTCATAACTGGTGAGGTGAGAGTATATATATATATTTTTTTTACATATTCTTATGCATCGACGTAATAATGGTGGTGAAAAGAACGTAGAATAAATAGAATTGGCGAGAGATAGGTAGAATTGGCGTTTGAGACTTAGAATTGGTTGTTGGATAAGTAGAATTGGCGTTCGATAAGTAGAATTGGCGTAATTTAACCCAATTTCGTTGTGGGTTGATTAGGTAAGGTTAGATTTGGTTAGGTTACGTTGGGATAGATTTGGTTTGATTAGATTAGGATAGATATGGCTAGGTTAGGTTAGGAGAAATTTGATTATGTTTGGACAGATTTGGCTGTATTAGGTTTGGATAAATTTGGTTAGGCTAGGATAGACGGAATTTCAACCCAAATCCAATAGAACGACCACAATACTTGCCTATCCTGCCCGAGTATATACAGTAGGTTATGTGAGAGACGATTTGTGTGACCGTGTACCAGCTAGGCCCATTCACTATATACTTTATTTCCAGTCAACCAGCCCTTCAACATAAAACCTAACCTATAGTGAACTCTCCGTAGTAACAGAACGCTCAATTGGCCATAGGACGCTCTTTTGGCCATAGAACTCTCAATTGGCCATAGGTCGCTCTCTTGGCCATAGAACGCTCAATTGGCCACTTCCATCATCGGTATGTCACCAAGGGTCGTTCCTACCCTGTAATCGTATTTGTGTTGTAGTTTAACCGACCGCCTGTGTGAATAGTAATCTTATTCATGGTGAGGCCAAGTTCCCGGTGGCCTCGATAAAAACGAGAGAGGGTCCAGCGTCACCCCTTGTAGCACAGGACGTGAATGGAAGACCGTAAAGGGATTATCAGAGGGGCAACTTGTTCCTGAAGGATTGGAGGCCATTGGGTTAGGATTCACGCGTATGTGGGGATATTATGTGTGGTGATTGGTTCATGTTCGTCATTGCGGTGATTGGTGCTTGTTTTTCATAACGTGCGATGATTGGTTTTTGCTTACCATAACGTGCGGTGATTGGTCCTTTCCATTATCTCCCAATCTCACATGAGTAATACGTCACCAACCCAAAGTAAATCCAAGTTGATAGTTGACCTAAATGTATTATTAATATTATTATTATTATTATTATTATTATTATTATTATTATTAATGATGTCTATAACTATAATTCTCCCATGTTATTATCAATAATAGTAACAGTAGTAGTGGTAGTAAGAATAGCAATAATAGTAGTAGTAACCCGAGTTGTAAAAAGTACCGGACTTTGTTACTTAAGTAAAAGTATTGTTACATTGGTAATATGTTACTCAAGTAGAAGTAAAAGTATCTAAAGTTCAATGTACTCAAGTAGAAGTAAAAAGAACGATCTCATTCATAAAGTATTGAAGTACTGAAAGTAAAAGGTAACAACAAAATTATTAATCGTCTCAAATATTAAAATAAATCCAGTAAATTATAAAAACAAGTGAACTAAAGATAAACATAAAAGCCACAGCATTACACATGTTTAGTTACAAATCTTTATATTGAGATTAATCAACAACTGATTCTCGAAATTATGACTGTCCAATAGGGATCTTGTAGGCCTAAATACAAGCCCAGCATGACTAAACAGACGGTCACAAGCAGCAGACATAAGAAACGCTTGTGAGTGGTTAGCGTCCAAGTTTGTTCTGTCCTGTGATTGGATATTTAAAACTCAGTTGTTTGGGGCTTGTAACGAGTAACGATTTTTGTGTTTATTTATTGAAGTTATAGTATACAAATTTTGTATACTTTTTAAAAGCTGAATACCCAAAAATGTTACTTGAGTACGGTATTCAAAAATATGTACTGTGTTACTTTACAACTCTGCTATTAAGACAATTAGTTATCAAATCTCAGAATCTCAGTCTAGGTTGTTTTCGACACGCAGAGTAAGGATCCCTGGTCAAAAAATTTTAATTCTGATTATTAAGTGTACCCATATCAATTAACATAATTATCAAACTTCATAATCTATGGTACTATTAACTACTGCTACTGCTAGTAGTAGTAGTAGTAGCGGGAAGGTAGCAAGAATAGTAGTAGTAACAGTAACACCAGACAAACCCTCATGGTTATGTATTCCAGGTCCTCTGATTGACGACACCTGGTTCCTGGTGATCATCTCCTCGTGTGTGGCAGCTACCCTCCTCGGTATCATCCTCGCCATCGCCTTCCTCAAGTACAGAGAGTAAGTATATCCCGTCTCTCTACTTGTATATTGTGTGTTGTGTATGTTAATATGGAGAGAGAGAGAGAGAATTCGACGTGCATTCTTCGTTAGGTTAGATAAATGAGATTTAAGATTAGGTTAGGTTTGATGAAGTTAGGCTTGGCTAGTTCAGTGAGGTTTAGATTACAGTTAGGTTTAGGTGAGATAGGGGTTAATTAAGGCACCTCCTCGTGGATCTTGGGAGTCTACCACACATCTCAAGAGACTCCCCCCATCAAGCTCTGTGAGTCTTGTATATACGTCACCTGAGGTCCCGAGTGTGGCCAAGACCTCGCTGATGTGATGGACTGTCAATTATAGGGACATCTTCCCAGCTCATTTGTCTCTCTCTCTCTCTCTCTCTCTCTCTCTCTCTCTCTCTCTCACACACACACACACACACACACACACACACACACACACACACACACACACAGATATGATAAACTGTCAATTAACTTGGCATCAAACACCCTACCCGTTTTGTCCAGCCATCAACAGGTAGGACGCGAGATTCCATCTGGACAGGTGAGTGTGGCGGACACTTCATTACTCTCCCCGCGATAAGGTACAGCCTTCTGACGCTCCTACGAGACCCCCACGATGCATTCGTTAGAATGTTATTTCTTACGACTGAGAGATAAACATATAGCAATAAGTCCTATGTATAGTTACGATAGATATTCAGGAAAGTTTCGACTTAATCTCGCTTAACCTAAACTAAACCCATCCAGATAGCGTTAGGTTAGGTTAGGTTAGGTTAGGAGAAGAATTCGACGTACAATAATCTGAGACTGAGGCCGCTATAGGGCAGACCCATATGAGATAAGACCACCCCTTAATTAACGACCGCTGATACTTCCACGACCCTAAAACCCTCAACGCAGTCTACAAGGTGATGAGAGAGAGAGAGAGAGAGAGAAAGAGAAAAGGACTGGAGATGGAAATGAGGGAGAGTGTAGCTATCAGTAGGTATTTCCACATAAGGCTTATCGTAGGTGTGGGATACGACAGTCACACACACACACACACTAACCCGTCACCAACACATATACCCTGGTTGTGAATGGACGTCTCTCTCTCTCTCTCTCTCTCTCTCTCTCTCTCTCTCTCTCTCATCTTCGTTCCAGTCATCGATTTACATATGATGTATTTGATCAAGTGATGTCATTAACTTGTTCATTTTCGATTTACGTAGTCATCAGTTGATAGATCTTTGAGTTACGTTATCATCGGGTTTTACGTTTGAGAGAGCATAATGTGTGTGTGTGTGTAGAGAGGGGGGGGCATGCTTGGGTAGCCATCTTATGGGTGGACTTCATCTCTTCACCTTATCGAGGATAAATTACTTTGTTTGGTTACTTACTGACGACCGCCCGACCCATGCATGCCCACACGCCCACGCCCCAGATAACATCCCCCCCCCCCCAGGCCAGCCCGTATCTCAAGCCTACCCTAAGGGACTTAAGATTCTCAAAGGTTTGGATGTTATATTTCTCGCGCCCTAACTGTCCAACTCTCTCAGCTTGAATGTGTGTTAAGATCACTGCTCTAATGATGGTCAGATGTGGCTGCGACGGTCACCTGGTTAATTGAAAGTTTTGCTGTCAAATTGCGGCAATTAACTAAAAAATTATTATTATTATTATTATTATTATTATTATTATTGTTATTATTATTATTATTATTATTATTATTATTATTATTATCATTATTATTATTATTATTATTATTATTATTATTATTGTTATTATTATTATTATTATTATTATTATTGTTATTATTGTTATTATTATTATTATTATTGTTATTATTGTTATTATTGTTATTATTGTTATTATTATTATTATTATTATTGTTATTATTGTTATTGAGTCAGTTGTCTACTGTATATCATTAACTGTGTAAGTTGTTGTCTTCATGTTAGTTGCTGTCATCTTACACTTGGTGTTGTCTTCACAGGGGGAAGCTGAAGCCGCTGAGTGACGTGGCTCTGGCCAAGAAGGAGAAGGCTCTTGGTCTGGAGCGTTGTGAGGCGGTGCTCTACCCGACCCCGTCCTTGGCACCCGTGCCTGTGCCCCAGCTGGACAATCGCACCTCGCGGGCACTGTGGGCTGGCATAAAGCCCCTGGAGGGTAACCACTACACTGTCGACCACTGCCAGCCCATGGAGCAAAAGCCTGTACGCCTCGACCTGCTGCCTCCCCACGACAATACCTATGACTACGCCGACTACAGCAGCGTCAGCTATGCCAGCGCCGGCTACACTACTCTTACACCTCGCTTGGACCCACACAGCCCACGCCCCGCCCCTGCCGCCAGCTTCGAGAACGTAGGTTACGTTCCCGGGGACGAGGCGGCCGAGGTGGAACGCATTGCTCCTGATGGATGTGTAGTGACGGCTCCACGAGCCGCCCGTCTGCTGGGTTCACCACGACCCTCCCAGGGCGGCGTCCCAGATCACCACCACTACGAGATGGTGACGCCCTCCCCCCGCCGCCACAGGTCTTTGGAGCGAGGGGGTGGTGGCCGCCAGCCGCCCATCATCAGCGGCCCTACTAACCTAGGACCCGGCCGTCTGCCACCCCTCAACGGCCGCCCGTCCCCACGCTACAACCTCACAGCCCTGGCAACAGGAGCCCACACCCTCACGCCCAAGGTTGAGAACTGTTCTCGGGCAGAGAGACGCCACGCCCACGTGTCACTGGACCGCTCAGGGACCACCAACACCACCCTGGCTCCTGCCTCCCCGACAGACCATATCTATGCTTCTCCCATTACCTCTCCTGTCATCTGAAACGGTGGGGTGCCTCTAGTGCACCCCCTTGGCCACCCTTTAGGCCCACCCCCATGCCACACTGGCCGCTGGGCCACTCTTGTTATTGCTAGTCGTCTGAGGTAAACTTGGCAGCTGAGACGCGTCCATGACCCCAGAGTCTCCAAGACGGTGACAGGATCTCCCCAAGATTCCTCTAGTGTTGTCACCAAGACGATTTTGGAGAGTAAACTGTTTGAAGAGTCAGAATCACCAAGGTGGTTCAGAAGACTCAGAGACTCACCAAGATACTTCTGGAGGCTCAGAGATTCTTGAAGATGGTTTTGAAGAGTCACCAAGATGGTGCCGCTGGACCACCAAGTTCCCGTACAAGTCTGGAGCTTTGCCGGCAGCCTGAACCAGGAACCAAAGGGGCTGCTGATTATATGAACTGGTACAGAAGCTCAGGTTACAGGTAGGTGGGGCACACCTGTTATAGTTGCCAAAACCGAGAACAAGTTTCTCGTGGAGGTACAGAATACAGATAGCCCACGTCATAGTCCCCCCTGGCTGTACCCGGTGTGCTTGTGCTGTATTATGGCCTCACTCTCTCCGACCTAAGCCAGAAAATCTAAGGACCTCGACCCAGCTTAAGATATTCTGATTAATTTTGAGGTTCACATCGTATAACCTCAGATCTATACCAGGGACCAGATTCTCAGAGATTAAGGCATTAAATTTTCCCCTCAACACAACTATGAGAACACACCCAGTTACCGATCAGTAGATAGCCAGTGCAGTTTTGATGCTGTTTTAGTTATCAGCTTTTTTACGGTCTCATAAATTAGTCAGTTGGATGTTTTCTCACCTAAGTTAAGGGGAATGCTAAACTATGATCTTTAAGAATCCGGGACTTGGTTTCACCTACAATCACACTGTCTGGTCCTGGGAACTAGACCTAACTTTAGGACCTGGGGTTCTATATCCTTGGATTTCCGGGGACAAGCTCCTTGGCACACAACAGTCCAAGTCGTAAACCATAGTTTGAGGCACAGCTGAGTGTGCAGGTCCTCCCGGCAGCTGCTGAACCAGAAGGCGAGAGCTGGGAGTAAACCTTCACACACACATCGAGTCACGCCAGACCTTTCAATGTGTCGTCTGATGTTTCGTATTTAGAGGACGCATTGTATTCATGATACCAAAGTGTAGTTTTAAGGACCAGTTAAGTCTCTCATACACAAAAATGTCATTATTCTTCGTCCGACCGACTCCTCCATCGGGCCCAGATAATTAATGCACTATAGCTTCTCATTATCTATCACCCCTAATTATTGTCATTATAGATATTTCCTCATTCATAAATGTTTATTATTCCTATGTTGACCAAACTCAACACAAGAAGAGAACTTTTTGTAATAGTCGATCTCATTATAGTCTTCACAATATTCTGTCCAGAGTCAACCTGTGTATGGGTTGACGCATTTGTGTACTGTAGTTATAAGACACACACACACACACACACACACACACACACACACACACACACGTATGATGCGTCTGTGTCATATGTACTGAGTCCCTCCTGAACACTTTACTGACGACAAGTTTTGTAATGTTTGAGGAGACAAAATAAGAGTCGCTTACTTGTGATTCACTGATCATGGTGCCATATTTCTCATCCTCCTTCCCTCCCCCCCTGCTTCCCTCTCCACCTCCCTGGCTCCCTCCTCTCCCTGCCTTCCTCTCCCCCTTTCCCCTTCCTCCCTCCCTCCCATTCTCCCTCCCTCTCTCTCTCTCCCCTTCTCCCTGTTTCCCTGCCTCCATCTCCCCCTGCCACCATCTCCCCCCTCCTCCCTCTTCCCCTGGTCCCCATCGCTTCCGTCTCCATGGTAAGGACAGAGGAGGATCTTCACACAACCCAAGTCTGAGAACTGTGCTTGTATATCTTCTAAGTCGTTAGTGTTAGGCCAGTGCATGATGAAACATAGAACGTACGAGCGCTTTTCTTTTGTTTTTCTCAGTTTTGTTTCCATTCCATATTATCATCATATTTATTGCTGTGTGTATATGTATCAAAGCTTTATCTGTATGTACATAAGATTATTTGCTTCTTTTCTTTCATTACTGTATAAAAAAATAATGTGCAATTTTATCTTAAATAGATGTTCAAACCTTAAATATGATTGTTACTGATCCTGTCTATGTCACAGTTGGTAGAGATATTTTGAGCCAGATGACATCATAAAGGGAAGATTCAAGATCCGTGATTCGATCTATAGGTATACATGTGTTGCAGTAGGCGCATACACCTCCTTTAGAACGGAAGGGGTATAAAGGTTGTAGTTGGAGACTTTAAATGATTTGGGTGAAGCTGCTTTGGTCAATTAAAGTTCGGAAAGTAGTAAGAGGTCTGAGGAAGAGGTTAATAGATGGTGCTCCACAGAAGGAAAATTGGATCTCAGGCCTCGAATATTGGAAAAATGAAGTGTGAAAAAAGCCGATCCTCCAGCAACTGCGGTGGCGTCAGTTGAGACCCCAGTAACTTGATGATCAGGTCGGCCCTGGGGTCCACAACCTTCCCGACCAATGGGACCCATCCGAGAAGGCCCCGCTTCAATATTAATATCAACTGACATAGGAGAATAAAATAGAATGAATAAAACAGATCAAGAGTGAGTACTGTACATTTATATTTGTTGTGTTGTCAATATCAAGAGAGACAATTGAGACCCTGCAATCGTGTGTAAATGAGGCAGAAAGATAGATCAGCAACCTGGGACTTGGTCACAATTTTCGTAATGCCATGTGGCAGCAGGGTCTACCTTTAGACAATACATTATGCTTCCAATATCTTCCCAGGCGGTAGTACCTCCCTGTTTGGTAGCTGCCTACTACCTACTGCGTTTGTGTGTATGTTGTTATCGCCCGATGTGTTTTTGTATCTCAGTGATACAAATCTGTGTTTCAGCTTCTGACCAAGAAGTCCTAATGAACGACTGTATCCTCCCTCCTTTACTGTGTCACCGTATATCATCTCTCCTTTAATGGGATCTAATGCTCAAGCTACCTGTTTGTTTATTTTTTTTTCACCTCTATATGCTCCTCCTCCTATAAAAGGATCGAGTGCTGGTCCTCCGGCTGATTGTCATTTGTTTCCAGGGAGACATCCCATTTTTCTGACTCACTATTTTCAGCAGAGGTATTCATAGAGAGCATATTAAGATTTGCTGTTTTGCTACTGTGTTTCTCTTGTTTAACTGTCTAGAACACAACGACTCTGCTCCATACAGGAGGAATGTTATTTACAGGAGGTGTTCTACACTCGTCACACTCGGGAAGACCAGACTACAACAACTACAGAGCTTCTAAAACAAGTGTCTGAGGTCAACCAGTGGCCAAGTGCCACCCTACCAGGAGACAGTGGAAACCATCCACCTGAGAAATAAAACAAACGACCCTCACAGCCCAGACCACCGACGCTGGAAAGACATCAACGGAGGGCGACCCCACGCCTGGTGGCCACGGAGTCTGCCCGTACTACAACCCAACCCTCGACCTATCTATGTCCGCCACAACGATCCACCTTAGTTTAAAACTCATATGATATAAGATCACATTTAACAAGTCACAATCCAGTGAGTCCATAACGTAGTACAGTAATAAGATTTTAATAAACATGTAATTGTAAAATCAAACTCGTCATTGTCAACCAAAGTAGCTATTGTGCAACCTCATCCCAATTCCTAGGTTAGCTTAGTTAGCCAACAAACTATAATATATCAGAGGGTGTAATCCCCCTCTGTTTAACTCTTTAAACTTCTTTTCCAACCTTTCCCCCCACGTCTATCTGTCGTGACTTCTCTATCCTTCGTATCTGGCTGTGCCTTGAGCCCCAGCATGTTTTCCATCCTTTCCCCACCTTAACCCATGAAAAAAAATAAAATATAAATAAAAGGTAGTATTACGGTGTTTAATCATCAGATGATATAAGCAGGAAAGCTAATTTTCAACTGATCCCGAAGTCATAAACACTATGGCAATTTTCCCGATAAAGTAACCAGGCTAATGACTTATGACTGAAATTCAGAACTTTATTGCTTCTCTAATTTGTCGTAGATACATTTTTTCAAGCACATCACTTTCTCCCAAAACACGAAGTTCTCTCCTGAACATATATAAGATAAGAGCAGTGAAGCATATCTAAATAAAGTATATGTAGTCTTGTGAAAGGGAAATTCACCACATATAATAATTTTCCACCTATTTCTGATACATAAAGGGGATTACGTTTAATGATTCATATTAATGACAATAATTATGTTTTCTGGCTATTTGTGTGATCCTCTGAGTAATATTATATGTATTATTGTATATGATAATTGCTTGCTTTGTATTTTATTGTACATACGTGTGATATATTGCAAATAAAACCAATAATCAATCAAAATAACGATAAGAGTTCTCCCTGAAATTTTTAGTTTTCTTTTATGACAGAAATTTGATGGCTAACTATACACAGTATATCATCACCTTGTTAAAGCAATGATATTGTAACGAAACGTCGAAATCATACCATTTTTTTTAGAAGAAATTATTTGGTGAATGAAAAAAAAACGATAAGTTCTCCTTCCAAAAGAGTTGTAAGAAAAAGGTGTATAACACGAGGCAGAAAACATAAACGTTCTTGGTAATTCTTGTTAATAATGGAAGTATATCCGGTTCGAAATTTCTCTTCCATTGTCTCGTTGTAGTATTAAAGTGTATCACTTAACATGTGATTTAGAACTTTTTATCTGACCCTGATGTACGGGTCATGTATTAAACCAAAGGAATTTAAGAGCCACAAAAACATTACCATGCTATAAGGTTTATTCAGAAAATTTTAAATGAGTTGTGTTCATGGCTGTGATTGACCATCCATAGGCTAACCAGAGAGTGTAGTATTGGGCCTTTACCTAAGACAGTCCATAGTGACAACAGTAACCGCTGTGGAGATTGAAAATAAATTGAAGTGAAAATAATTCTAAATTGGGACAAGCAGTCGGGCAACAGTGCCTGGGAGTAGTCAGGAAATAGTATTTGGTGCCACAAAGGAAGTTTTTCTTTGGTGTGTGTGTTTTATTAAGGACTGTAACTGTGATTAAGATGACCATTCATAGGGAGATACAGTGCATATAGTGATTTTGTAACAATATGCTTTTATTTTACCTTTTATTTTCTTCTTACTGGAATGTGAAAAGGGAGGAGTGATGGGGAGGTGGTTTATGGTCGAGGGAGGGGTGTGGGTAACACTCCTTATGGTCAACCGTCCAACACACCGATTTTTAGTTTAACAAATTTCTTGACAAAGCTTGGAGTACAGTTTACCTATTCTGAGTAATTCAGTCACTGAGGGTGGTATTACTTCTCACTGCCACGCAGGACAGAGGCTCATACACAAAGAAATGCATCATATTCATTAACAGTATATAAAGGTCAGATTCATGTGGGTGATGTCACTGTTCACTGCCATGTAATACAGTGGTTCATATACATTGGACGTCATATTCTAATTAAAGATTAATCAGTGTGGGCTAACAAATTTCGGATAAACAGCAAGAATGTCCTCAAGCACCCCAGCTTTAATGTAGTAATTACAAAGTTCATGATACAATAAGTCAGGTGGCCTGAAGTCTTTGACAGTGTCACATTCAATGATATAGTGTTCAGGTGTATGCCTTAAAGGTTTATCACAAAATTTACATGCTGAGTGTTCCGGTCTGGGTACAGCATTACTAACTTGCCAGAATTGAATTTGAATTGAATTGAAACAGTTTATTTAGCCAGAAAAACACAGATTCAGAGTGGATAATAATGACAATATTAACGTGGCTGAGCCAGTTGAGAACCTGAGCTCTCTTTTAGGCACCTGATATATACTATACATTTAACTCAAGGAACTATTATGTAACATTTAGTAACATCTGGAATAGTACAATAGCATGGTGGTAATAAGAACATCTCATAATGTTACTACGGACACAGGAACGGACAAAGGACTTGTACATGGTGAGAAGTACAGGGATGGTGGCACCAAGGGAACCCCCTCACATGGTAGAGAGGGGAGCGAGACGCCAAAAGCATATGTCTCGAAGATAGCGCACTTCAGGGAGCTGACAACGTGTGCGAGTTACATACACACCCAGGTATTTTGTCTCATTAACCCAGTCCAAGGGCGTTCCTGATAAGAGAAGGGGGTGGAGGTACAACACGACAATGCCACATGGCTTTTGTTTTCGCAGTTGAAAGAAGAAAACAAAGTGAGTCACACTCTCTGGAGACCAGATCAAGGGCTTCCTGCAGGCTGAAGTAGTCAGGGGCTTGGAGGAGGACATCGTCGGCATATGCTGAGTGGACAACTTCTGTCGGCCACGGGAGAGATGCAATGGAGTGCATGGGAGTGTTAAACAAGGTGTGACTCAGGACTCCACCTTGAGGGGTGTCGAGGTTCATTTCTTGAATAGGAGATATAGAGCCTTCAACGCGAACCCGGGCCAGACGTCCAGTGAGGTAAGAGGCGATCCATTGAAGAAGTCTCCTTTTAACCCCTAACCGCGAAGTTCAGCTAAGATGAGGGCAGGCTGAGCTGTATCAAAGACTCCCTTGATATCAAGGAAGACGGAGATGCGGGCAGTCTGATTGCAATAAAAGGAAGCAATGGAGTGTGCTGTGCTGCGATGTTGTATGAAACCATTGAGGGAGTTGTGGAAGCCGCCTATGGTGTGAAGAAGGCGACGTTGGAGTATATCGTTGTTTAAATTGCGTGTCATCATAAAATTGATAGGATTCTGTCTATCTACAATCAGTCTTCTCTCTACAAAATTTCCATTTTGACGATGTCGCCGAAAACCGCGCTCTGTTAAAATTCATGTTGACTTGCTTGAAGGATGGACTGCTAAACCTGCCTCCAGGCTGGATTAACGCGAAGATCGATAATTCCGATCTCAAACCCGGTTTGAATCTTTGTATTGGCTCAAGCCAGCGTTCTGAATACAAACAATCTTCAATCTTCGCTCGATCCATTGTTTTAACCTCCATGCGGTTTCAAATCACTGTTGTGAATTCAGGCCCAATGGGGTCTGACTCTGACTCTAACATGCCGCAATGGACTTATTAATGCCAAGAAACTGATTTATTGGCTTTTATGTTATAAATTACTTCTCATCACCTAAAATAATATTAACCCGAGTCATATGCTGTATATTAATGTTATAAATTTTAATGGGTGTTGGTGTACATATATACTGTACAGTGAGGAGTGGTAAATTGTGCATTCCATGATAATGTCCTTGGTTCGAGTCCCAACTGTGTCAGAAGGGTGAACACTTTCAGCAGACACCAAAAAAAGGTTGGAGTCCTTTGGAATATAGTGCTATAATAAAAATGAGATGAGATACTTAAGTTATATAATTATGGATGAAGGGATAATAGCAGAAATATCAATGGGCAAAGTTGAGGGTTAGGAGTGTCAGGGGAAGGTAGAGACTGGGATGGATGAATTAAATTAAAAACTGGCTCCCCAGAGAGATACAAACCCCTGAATAACTGACAAAAACAGCCTGAAAACGCTTGGAGTAGAGGATTGTGGTGTCGCCAACCCTTAGATATGAGGACTGTACTCTCATTGATTGATGCAGTAAATAATCCAGATGGGGACGAACGAGAGACATAAACTTTAAGGAACATTTTCTTATTTAAAGACTTATCAAATTTTCCAAGTATATTCTATAATTTAAATATAGATAATTTGGAACAACAGACAATTCGAAAAGCAGCTATTTGTAGTCTAGTTTGGTCTATTTAGTTACCCGTTTAACAGTTCCCATTTTCTGTATAAAGAGCGTCATCTTGTTTCTATGGCAACGTATAAGGTAAAGAACCAAGAAACAAGTGACGGCCTAAATTGGATCAGGAAATAAATGTATATAATAGTATCGTTCAGTGATACATTATTGCTATTAATTACTTCACCACTTGTTTGCTTTACTAGCATTTCGGGTGGTTGGTGTGTTATTATTATTATTATTATTATTATTATTATTATTATTATTATTATTATTATTATTATTATTATTATTATTATTATTGATGTTATCATTATTATTACTGAATCAAATGAAGACACACCCACCCCAATATATTTCACCTATCAGTCCATCCATCTTCTTTATCCTGGAAAATAAACCTCTCGTCCTTGTTCAGTCCTCAGTAGCTGTCCTCGTCCTGGGAAAAGACTACTTGGCCTAACGGGAGTTCAGTCGTCTATACTACTAGTGTTTACCAGAGAGTTCAAGAGGAGCACATTGACCAAACTCACCTGGGGAACTAAGGAAACTCACAGCTTGTTTGTCTCCACTCACTCTGCTGGTCATGGAGAAACCCCAGATATTAGTTTACGTCGAGAAGAGTTTAAATTACAGTGCCTTTGACGTGAAATGGATTCCTCGGTCTGCCAAAGTGGTGGCCATTGGCAGTCATCCCCAAGGTACTGGGGCACTGCAGGTATCTGGCTCTGGTCTCACGTATTAAGGATTTTCAAAATGCATTCTCCACTCTATTGTAAAGTAACTGAGCTGAATTGCTACTTGTAAAGTATTCACGTGTTTGATGGAAGAAATGATTCCTTATGAGATGTCAATACAGTATTCAGTTAAATTTATGTTTTTTTATTAAATATAGTTTTTAAATTACATTCTTCTGTTTTGGCAGGTGTATGAGATGACCGAGGGAGATCTCAAGCTGCTTCATGATGTAGAGCGGCCTAAGGCGTTGAAATGTGGTATGTGCATCTCCCTCTATCACTGGTTATTACTCCTCAAGGCTTTATTGTCAGCCATTATTTTTTCCAACTAGATTCTGTTAGAGTACATGTGCCCAATATCACTTTAAGATTTTGGGGTAAATTCCATGAAATGTATCCAAATAGTTATGGTAATTTTTTTCTCCAGATTTTTTGCTCTTCATTCCTTGTTATTTCAACTATGTAAAAAGTAACAGTCTGCTTATTCAGTTTATTTATAGATAAGTAATGTTAAATTTTCACTCCTGTATTAATTCAGGTGATTTTAGAGACTACAGTTTTATGCAGTAGATGTCTTCCCCAGCAAAGAGATAACAAGTACAGGGTGTTTCAATGGTTATACAATGTAAGATCAATAATGTGTTTCTTTTTAAGGTGAGGAAATCATAACAAATCAATGATGAAAAACCTATGCACGAGGAAATAGTTAAATATTCATGTATACTGAGGCATTTGCTATACACCGATCAGTTGCAAAAGAATTAATTATGGGTGTTCTTGATTAAATTCTTTGGTGAAATTTCAGTCTTGCACCGGTCTTTCTCTCGCTGTTATTAGTATGTTTTTCATAACATTTAGACAATTTTAAGACCTTTTTCTTCTATTATATTTCCGAAGGAATTTAAGGATTACCGAGATATTAATTTTTCAGTATTATTAGATTTGGTCAGTCACAAGTGTCGCCATTTGTTGTTTACGTCTCGCAGAGAAGGTCTAACCACCCATCACTCAGTACTCCCTACCTCCGTGTTCGCTTCTTGAGGGTCTATGGCGCATGTGCAGTGGGAGTTTCTTATTAGCTATAGCGATAGGAGACTTATAATTGGGCAAGAGTTTTTTCTCTTAGCCAATGGACAATGTGTGGGTGCGTCGGGAGCAGAGATTTTATTTTTTGGTACCAGAATAACCAGATATGCCTGAACAGGTGGAAAGAGCTGTGCCGACATTGTGATAAAGATTATTTTACGTAAATTGCAGAGTTTCATCAGAAAATTAATGTAAGGTTAGGTTAGGTTTTGTTGGTTGGTTGACATTTTATTTATGTGATTTACTAAAAAAAAAATTTTGTTAAGATTGATGGGTAAGGGGGGGTATCTAAAACTATCGATTTCCGGGTGAAATGAATATCAAATTCGTTCGAAACTCATCAAATAACATCGGAAAAACATATTTTTAATATCCAAACAAAGACTGGTGCATAAGTGAAATTTTACCAATTCTTCTTTGTGTGTAGTTGTAAGAGCGCGCAACACAAGTTGCCTCCCTTTAAGGGCTTGGCACTCTTAAAACAACTTATGTTAATAATCTGACCTGGTAGCATGACGTGAGAGGAAGGCCCATGGGTACATGTAATTATAGTATCGAGTATTAGGGAAAGAACAACGGTGAATACTGTAGGTAAATCATAAACCCATACATACAAATACACTGTTTATTGAAACACAAAAATGGTTACAGAAAAGACGCTGTATGCACCCAAAATAGGAACTCCTGGTACCATGCCCTCAGGCTCAATTTACTTGCACCACTACTGGGTGTACACACACCAAAACACACAAACTCTCACAGCACCATAGCACCACTAAAACCTGTGGCACCTGCCAGTACAACACTCAATACCCCAGGGGCAATGCTCCAGCGGCCGCCATGGGAGTCTCCTCACCAAGTGACACCTTCCAACATTCCAATAATTCTGGTGGGCTAACACCACCACACAAATAGCCCTACTGAGTTATGTGCTGTACTCATCCACCAATGATGGGGCTGGCAGTTGTTTGTGGGGCTTGACGATCCGGGTTCACCACGGTGGCATAGCGTTGGGGGAATACTGGCCAGCTATGGGGCCTATAGGTGGTAGGAGCTTCTGACGGTCGGGGTTCACGGGATACCGGATTCTACTGGATCTTAGACATCTTCCCAGACTAGTGGATGCGTCATCCACGCTACAGACACGGCCTAGGCTGCGATAGGGACCTGTGGGTGGGAAGCGTGGCGGCTTACTGACTGTTTATAACGAACTCAACGCTTCCAAGGGACATTAAGGACATAAAATACTTCACTCAAAGCACATTAACTAGGTTACTTTAACACTTGCACAATCAAACTATTAATCAAGCCAAATCACTTAAAAATGACGAATTACAACAACACGGAGAAGGTGGAATGACCTACCTGTGGGTGGGAAGCGTGGCGGCTTACTGACGGTTGAACTGCCCACCGCCTTCCACCCACGCCAGAGTCACGGATTCCACCTACTTAACCATTACACTGAATTATGTTACTGTAACACTCTGACTTTTGAAACTGAGACTACGAACTCAGTTTCATTCCCTACTATTATCTTTACAAACAATGCTCTGACTCAGCTATCAAAAGCAAGAATTAAATTGATCACAAAAGGTTGGATGGCAACAGGTCCCAACACGCAACGCCTTGCTACAAACCCGAGGAGCAGATTCAAAAGGTTCCCTTCAGAATATTAACTAATTCCTCAGTTAACCTCCCTACCACAATTTCACTATGATTATCAGAGTCTCTGCTAATCATAGGTGAAAAAAAAGGTTTACAGGGTCTCGGTAGCAGAAAGAGTTTACAACTCGGTCAACAAACATACGACATCTCGATGACGTCATCAAGGAAACAGAGAGAACGGCGGACATTTCCACTGGGAGACGCAGAAGGTTTTGTGGACGTGTAAGCGTAATATGGATCATTAATTTAACAGGTTAGCCGTCATTACGATCATGACATAGTAAATGGCTTTCCATACATGAATATTAAATTGACTCTTTCCTCTCATGTTAACTTCTTTGTCATCTTCATTGAAATGTTGTTTCCATCATCTAAAAAAGAAAACAATCAATAATTTCTGTATGATGCATGACCTGTGAGACACCCTGTATATTTCTTTACACCAATGCCCCTCAGGAACATTTGGGGCATCAACTCTGGAGGACCGACACTTAGCCATAGGAGACTTTGAGGGGAAGATGGAAATTATTGACCTACAGTCTCCTCAACTACCTGTGTACTCAGTCAAAGCTCACAATGAGATCGTCAATGCCATCGATGGAATTGCTGGGCTCAATATTGGCAAAGGTATAGTTCCACTCAGACATGGGAATGATTACACCAGTTGATTATGATTGTTGTTATGATTACAGGTCTGACAAAAGTTTGATTTGATTATAAGTTTTGAAAACTGGAAAATTATTGAGAAAAAAAGGAAATTACAATAATAATTTTATATATACAGTATATACTGTATACAGTATATCCCAGTGCTTACTTCCCGACCTTCTGTTGTCACCTTCATAATAATGTGTCAACTTCAACACCAGGTGCTCCAGAGATCGCCACAGGTAGCCGGGATGGGCTGGTGAAAGTTTGGGATCCCCGACAAAAAGATCGGTCTGTTATTACCATTGAACCAAAGGATGGTGAACAGAGACGCGACTGCTGGAGCGTAGCTTTTGGAAACTCACACTCCAATGATGACAGAGTTCTTTGTGCCGGATTTGACAATGGAGATGTGAAGATGTTTGATCTACGCTCGATGGCTGTCAAGTGGGAAACAAATCTGAAGAATGGCGTTTGCTCTCTTGAGTTTGACCGGAAAGATATCTTGATGAATAAACTTTTAACCACGACCTTAGAATCAAAATTCTTTGTATATGATCTTCGGACATTCCACGAAGAAAAGGGCTTTGCTAAACAGGTTAATAAAGGTCACAAGTCAACTGTGTGGTGTGGGAGACACTTACCTCAGAATCGTGAAATATTTGTCACAACTGGAGGTAATGGCTCAGTCATGTTGTGGAAGTATTCATATCCTGATTCAAGGTCCAAGAAATTGGATGATGGGTCAGAAATTGGTGTTGTTGGAGAATCCAAACCATTACAGAATGCCACCCTTACTGATCAGCCCATTACAAGCTTTGACTGGAGTCCAGATAAAATGGGATTAAGTGTATGTTCAGGACTTGATCAGGCTATTAGAATTGTAATTGTTACCAAGCTGAACACAGTGTGAAGATAAATTATTGGTATGTATTATTATCAATAATATAAATGTGAATACAGTATCTGTGCAGTTCCAATATTTGTTGCACTTTCTCAAATCCTGTGTATATTTTTCTCCTCTTTCTTCAGTCACTTCAGGAGGAAATATATACAGTATCAGATATAGATTTCATGATCAAAAACTTCACATTAGTACTTCCCAGCCATTGTGTCATAGTAGCTTGCATCATGTCCTGCTTTATGTGGACTCCTTGTGAGCTTGAAGTGTGTCTTGATTATGACTTCTAAGTGGAATCTGAAGTCTCATTGCATTATGTCTTTTAGGATTATCAAATCATTATCAATTGATTTCAGGGACACAGATTTTTGACGATTATTTGTAGCCATCAACCTCCAAACAAGAACCACATCCAGAACCACAAATAAAATGGTGCCTGTAAAAATCTTTCCTGACTGCAGCACTGAGCTTGAATCTCCTGGGATAAGAATTCAGGGTATCCAAATACTATATATTTTTTTTAAATTCTTTATGAAGTAATAGAAAAATGTATCCAGTGTCAAGATATCTGTGAAGAAGTAATACTTTTAGGGATCCTTACTCCCAGAGTTTTAAACACCCTTTTCCGTTGAAGAGGGCCGTCGTGTTTTAACCCGAGTTTAAAAAAAAATTAGTCCTGAAGGACACCGTAGTATAGTACAGTCTGTCCCCCACTTACGACATTCGACTTACGACAGCCCGGACATATGACGGCCACGGTCGTATAAAATATTTTTCACATTACGTATTTTCGAGTCCCGACGATAGTGATCGCGCTGTGCACTGACAAAATTTTCGTTCGTAAATCCCTTTAAAATGGCTGGCAAGCGTAAAAGTGAGAGCTCTCGTGGTGCCGAGAAGAAAAAGAGACACCCATTTTAGAATTTCTATGTATTATTTTCGCCTTTTCGACTTACGACCTGGTCGTCGGGACGGAACCCCGTCGTTAGTCGAGGAGAGACTGTACTTAACAGGGTAGTGTGGCGGTAAAATTAACTAATTCTAATATTATAAATTAATTTTATTGACATTACTTAATTTTACTGCCACACCACCCTGTCAAGTACTGTACTGTTGTGTCCTTCAAGACTAATTTTTTTTAACCCAGGTTGAAACACAACGACCCTCTTCAACGGAAAAGCATGTTTAAAACTCCGGGCGTCAACCCATTCACTATGGGACGTCACTTTTAATATTTTATTTGGCTAATGCCAGACGATTGTATTCAGCTCAGAGGAGAGCCTGTACACAAGGGGGTAATGCTGTTTTAAATTTTGCGATGAAACTTGGTAGGAATGTTCGTTGCAAAATTTCAGAAGTTATGTATTAGAACAGTTATGAACTTTGTATGACTTGTGGCAGTGCTGCAGTAATGCCTGAGCCTCTCACCATTGTGTCCAGGGTTCAATCCATGACTGGAGCCAGATGTGAGAAAGGAGTTATCTAGCGTGACCCTCACTACCAAACATCACAGGTTTTCTCTGAGTATGCCTGTTCCACCTGTACTAACACTGAACAATAAGAAGGTCATAACAAAGAACCTACCAACTGCCTGAATGGCTAGAAAGCTGATAAGTGGTGGATGTGTTAAATTAAAAAAAAGTGAATTACCGTATGCCACAGGTTGAAGGTCACGGGGTATAGTACTCGAAAGATTTTTGTAATAAAGTTCATGTTCTGGATCTGACTTATCAACCTAGTTTGTATAATGTTATGTATCTTAATGTTGAAAAGAATTGTTATTGTTGAAAGAATTCATAACTGATGTATCATTATGAACCTGAGCACACACTGGTCCTTTACCCATCCCAGTAATCCTGGATATACAACATGATAAAGAAAAATTAGGTTTCAAAGCCAAATATGTAATCAGTAATCACCACTGTGGATTTATTGATTTATAAGTGATATTTACAAGCTGTGATTTTATTTTAGTCATTTTTACTACCTATATATGCATTATTATTTTCCTTAAAATTTTAATGTTCAATATACGATGTATACATCTTCTCTCCTTTAAGAATGTATTGTATCTATACAGTATTTAAGATACTGTAATTCATATGGATGATGTGAATTACCATGAAATAACAGTATCAGATCAAATTAGAAACTACAGTAGAAGTCCAAAAATCCGGACTGCTCGGGGATTGGGTCGGTCCGGATTTTCGGATTTTCCTGATTCTCAGGCAGTACTATTAAAATTTAAATTTATGGAGGAATAAAGAAGAGATAAACAGGTACATTTTGATAGTTTATTCATAAGCAAATACAGCATGCTTCATTTATCAAAATGAGCAGTTTTAAAGAAAAATAAAGTCAACACTTGACAAAAATGTAAACAAACATTTTTCACTACGAAAAAAGGGGCGTGTAATGTTTGAAATCATGTTTAAAAATGAACATTGTAAAAGAAAAATACAGTAAACAAATGAAAGCAGAATTTATTTTATACAAATTGATTATTTATTTGTAGTTTATTAACGAAACATTTTCCTATAAATACAAAGTACAAAACAACAAATAAATATTTATTCGTTGTTTTCCACTTCTATATCGTCTGCTGCACTTCTTGTGGATGGAACACTTGCAGTTTCTACTGCATCTGCTGCACTGCTTGACACTGCTTTCTTTAAATACTTTAGTATATCACCTTGTTTACGACTTTGTAATTTCTTTGTGAAAAGATTATTCTGCACCATGTGTGCATGCATGACATCTTGAAGACTGAAGCTATGGTTCTGTCCCACAAATTTAATAACTGTGTCAATGCCCTTTTCTGCAGCAGCCCAAGATATCTTTTCTTCAACTTTGTCGTCGTCTTCACCAGATTCTCTTCTATCTTCTCAGGAGTTGTAATGCTTTGAATGATTTCTTGATCAGTGTAAGTGGCTGCAACTTCAATATCATCGTCAATGTGTATCCACTCTTCTATGTCAGCAGCATTAAGCTTGCGTAGAGGGTTGTCTTCCAGAGATAATTTAACAGTCTCCATCAGTTCTTGCACTTCAGATGCCCTCTGCTTTATGTGGAATCCTTCAAAATCTTTGTCTTGATCACACTCTAGATCTGCAAACATCACTTTCGGCCACAACTTTCGCCACGCTCTTAAAAGTGTTTCAGGCTTGACTGCATTCCATGCAGTCACAAGTGAAAATATTGCATCCTTGACCGTAAAACTGTGTTGAAATTCTGTAGGGTTGACATTCTTATTCATCATTTTCGTCATAAAATCATTTTTATAGTGACATTTAAAGTTCCTAATGACTCCTTGATCCATGGGTTGAATCAATGATGTTACGTTTGGTGGCAAATAACATGCATAAATATTCCCGCAATCAGACACTAATTTTGATTCATGCGGGTGGGCCCTACAGTTGTCGAGAAGTAGCAGGCACTTTGTATTTGCAGGCTTCCCCAATTTCCTTAAGTTCTGACGAACTGATGGAACAAAATCATGAACAAACCAATTGCGAAATATGTCTTTGTCCATCCAAGCACTCTTTTGGGCTTTATAGGTCACAGGCAAGTGCACAATTCATTTAAAGACCCGTGGGCGCTTAAATTTGCCAATCACCAAAAGCTTAATTTTATGCTGACCTGAAGCATTAGCACATACAAGAACGGTTAATCTTTCCTTATTAAGCTTAAACCCTGTTGCATTTTGTTCTTGGTTTCCAGCCAAAGTTTTTGTGGGCAAACACTTCCAGTAAATCCCTGTTTCATCAGCGTTATAAATTTGATCGGCTGTGAGATCATAGTCATTTACAATTTGTTCAAATGTAGCACTATATTTTGTTGCGGCTTGTGTATCAGCCGACTGTCTTTCTCCAGCAATATCTAAATGTCTAATACCATGACGAGTCTTGAAATTCCTTAGCCATCCATTACTAAATGCGCACTCTGATTCATTGTTCATTTGCTCCTTAAAAGACTTTGCTTTGGCAATAAGCATCAGCCCAGAAATTGCCATACCTTCTGATCGTTTCAACAAAAATCATTCGTGCAACACTATATCAAGAGTTTCAAATTTGGGCCGATGTAAACTTTTTCTTTCAGCAATTTTATTGTAAGCCTCAGAAGAAGTTGTGAATTCTAGAATTTTATTCTTTGCCTTTTTTATATCATAAATTGTTGACTTATCAATGTCGTATGTTTCCATTAAAACAGCATTGCGCACACCACGTTCTAGTTTCTTAATTATTTCAAGTTTGTCACTCAATTTCAATGTGTTCTTCTTTCTCTTCACACAACGAGGTTTATCTACTTTAGGAGCCATTATTATGGGCTTGTAAATGGAAAGAGTAGGACTCAAAATTACATACATTATCACAGTTTGATTGCTTGTTTTAAAGTAGCAATCGCGTGGTCGCTTGTTGTCGCTGTGTAACTGTGGCGTTCACACCATGCACACATACACACAAAATATTTATAGTGCCTCAAATTTTACATTTCAGGACAAGCTAATTACAAAACTAACAAAATTAGCTACATATAATTTACAAGTACTTTTATTATTAGAATTATGTAAATTATTTTTTTTAAAGCAACTCCATTCATTCACGTAACCCACAAAAGCCCGCTAAATTTAAAACATTTTAAAGTTTTCGAAAAGTCCGGATTCTCGGGTGGTCCGGTTTTCTGGCAGCCGGATTTTTGGACTTTTACTGTAATCTGAAATATAAGTACAAGTTGAGATTTATTTTTCAAGTTCAGGAAGAAACTATTATTATAATACTAGAAACTAAGGCACTGGAGGTCAGTCCATAACAGCTTATCTTCAGCATTCCATATGAGGGAGTGAGATGGATTAAGTGGTAAATATACTCTAATAAGGTGCTATTAAATTTATATTCGATTAGCTATTATAGTTCATCCATCTGGTGAAAGCTTCCTGCAGATTAATAGACTTGTACATACTGTTGTTTGCTCTGTGCTTCCTTCATTGGCCACAATAATCTTTAACTATATCACACATCCCATTCTAGATTGCCATGCTTTATCCTTCCACTTGTACATTTCTATACAGGTACAGTATCCCTCATTATCCAAATGCGTTGGGTTCCTTGAAAACCATTCAGGTAGCTCAGAACAATTGAGAAAAATAGGGTTCAGTTCCAAACAACAAGAAAAACCCCAATACAGTGAGTTCTGCTATAACGCGTGTTTTGACAACGCGAATTGGCTCTAACGCGATTTATGAATAGAGGAACGATATTTGTATAACGCGAACGCTTGTTTGCTGTAACGCGATTTTTGCTTACTATTTCTCCAATTTTGTGGTATTAACTGTGAATATGGTAAAGAAGAATATCTCCAAGAAGCGTTCTGGTGATCGCATTCCCGGTGATGATCGTAAAAGAAAGGCTATAACCCTTGAAGAGAAGCTCGATGTTATCTACCTCAAAATCACCCTTCTCCCCCATCAAGTTATATTCATATTTTTTTAAGGTAAAGTGTTACATTTACTGTATGATTTCATTATTAGATGTGAATGTAACATTTATTTAGACTGTGCTATCCTTTGTGTAAGGCTAACTACTAAATTTTTTCGATTTCGAGTAGCAATCTGCACCTACAGTAACCCTATTTTCTCCATAAGCCCTGTTATTTCTATTACGCGAATTTCTGTAACACGATGTTTTACAAGAACACAACTATCGCGTTATAGCAGAACTGACTGTATTGAAAAAATGGTTCATGAACAAAAAACCTATCTAACTACTGTATGGTTAATGGTAAACTAAATATAATATATTGTAAATTTTATGGGAGGGGAGTCAGGGCTCACCAAAACTGGGTGGATTTATTTGAATTTCCGATTGGACCATCTTTCAGATAA